CGTGTGTGTGTGCGTTTGTGTGTATGTGTGTGTGTGTGCGGGCGTGCGTGTGTGTGTGTGTGCGGGCGTGCGTGTGTGTGTGTGTGTGACTGTGTGTGTGTGTGTGTGTGTGTGTGTGTGTAGTGAGATGAGTCCACCTCGTTCAGAGACAAGGGAAGCTGATTTTACATAATGACACAGCACAATGAATGCGAAGAATTCGGGGACCACTTGTACGGAATGAACTATCTGTTGAATCTGACGAGAAGAGTCAGGTTCAAGAAGCCCTATGCATCAGTACTCCTTCAAACTATACATTCGCATTTTGTAGGGAACAGAACCAACATCCTGTTGACGATGGGTAGGATCTCTTAAAGGAAGAACACAAAGAAGGTAGGGAGGGACAGGGATAGGGAAGCGGTTCAGATCATCCTCCGTAAGAAAGGAGCGCATTACATGCATAAAACTTTTGTAGTAATCCGTGAAAGAGATGAAGTAAAACTGAGAAGGGAGGAACGCATGCTTGTTAAAAATGATCAAGCACATAGCCAGACTGGCAAAGTCACGCATTGCCAAGTAATTCTGAGTCCGCAGAGGGAGATGATCCGAAATAGCTTTTTCCTTACTGTGTACAAGAAAATGCATATACGTATATATAAAGATCGATGAAAAACCGACAGAAGAGCGTGAATACAGTACAACTCATTCGACATGAAAAAATGATGCACCTACATAATACAGATCAAAAAGTTTCGCCGCAAAAGCCAATTCCAAAAAAGGAGAGAATGCAAATTCCTACCATCCAAAGAGTCGTTCAGATAAGATAGCACAAAATGTGAGGCTTTATTCTCGCGGAGGACATAATGTGCTACATCAAAGATTATACCGGTATGCAAACAACACACCAGCATCGCCCTTCTGCCTCGTCCACTCAGGGGAAGAAATCCTCTCATTGTCTACTTAAATAGTTGTCCCAGGTTTCGACCTACTCACCGTTGCTCCAAGTCTGCGTCTCGTCACCCACTGTCATCCTCCTTCTAGTGATTCACCAGTCCCTTGTACGTCCCTCTGTCATCGTAACAGACGTTGATCCATTTGAAGCTGCATCATCGTAATTCCGTTCCTTCCTGTGTTCTAGATCCTGTGACAGTTATTTTCAGCGGAGGAAATCTAGTACTAGGAAAAGAACCTTCGCGTTAGTATCGTAGTTCCCGTTCCTGCCTATGTCCCAGTTCCCGTGGTGGAGATCCGGTACCAGGAAAACCCTCGTGCCAGCAGTATACGTGATCCGTGAGCTCAGTTGTTGTCAGTGCCACAGATTCATTAGGAGCTCCTTAAAGGTGTTGCGGTTATACCTGTTTGGATGCTGATGTCTCAGACAATTACCGGTTGGGTTGTCCTGCCTTTATTATGTTTATTTATTTATTTATTTATTAACTTATTTATTTATTTATTTACCGTCCCATCGAAATCATGTGCGGCCTGCCTTTTTCTTTTCAACTGGTACCTGCAGTTGTAACCAACGCAGAATTTTTGCGGTTGTCTTTTTGTTCATCCGCCGCCTCCTGATGGCTAAGACTGCGTGTTTTAATACATACGTCAGGTATCGCAACTGTCGGGCTTCGACAAAAAACCATTTTATAATATTCACTGTATCTGACTGGCATGTGGAATTAGTGAGAATGCGATGCAATGTTCCTAGTACTGTGATTTCTTTGGTTTTTAACGGACCAAAACTCTTGAAGTGTTTAATCGTGTGGAACCGACCAAAAAAAAACCCTTGGAGTGTTTCCTGATTCTTCAAATGTGTAAACACTTCAAGAGGGGCCCTTTCTCCTGTTTGACGATGTTTGTTTCAAGATACTTCTGCTCTTTATCATCGATGTGTGTAGTTTCTTCCAATTTTAGTGAGTTGTGATAACAAGTGCCAAACTGCTGAATGCATTCAATAGTTATCTGTCTATCTTCTTTTGAACACACAGTTACAATGAAAACATCGTCAACAAAATGGATACCAGTGATGTTCCTTTCATCATTCCCCAATGATTTCATCCAGTTCTGCTCATCAAAATTGCAGACCAGGTTTGCAATGGGTGAGCTTGACCCTTTTCCTATTGGTATGCCGAGTGTCTGCTTGAGCATTTTTCCTTGAACAAGAAAATAGGCATGTGAAATGTCAAACTGCAGTAACTTGGGGAGGTCAGCGATTTTTACTGTCTTCCAACCCCAAGTACTGTTTGCTTTTCCCAAGTCTATTTTCTTACCATGCAACTTGATCCTTATGTGTGTCTTACCTCTTCTCAGGTGTTCACAAATGAGTCAGTCCATGACGCGCATGATGTGAGAGTGGTCTAGACATGTGAACATGTCTTTTACATCAAAGGTGGCGCTGATGACTTCAGCTTGATTGCCAAACAAGTTCCTTGCATTCTTGCTAATCTCTGCAATTCTTGTGACCAATTCGTTAGTCCCAATCATGCCAAACCCTTGGTGTAATATTCTCGTAAAGACAGAATTTTGCTTGCATGAAGCGAAGGTTCCTGAAAAGTCCGGACGATAGGTCGTCTTTTCAGGTTATCCTTATCTTTTGGCATGACATATGCGTGCCCATATAATCCGTTAATGTTCCAGCGTGCAAACTTAATCAGTCCCATCTTCTTATACAATACTTGACTACTATCAAGGACATCCTGCATTGTGGAGTCAACAATCTGGTAGTTAGGAACATTCAAAAACATGCGATTCATCTTGTCCCATAATACCTGGGGGCACTTTACATAAGTTCCCCCTGGGTTTCGGTCCAGTGGAGAGCAGATCAACAATTTCAGTTTCTTCTTCCAATTTAGGACTGTACGCATAGTTACCCCATCAGTTGTTCCTTGTTTCTTTACGCAATACCCAAAATCCTTTGATCCTGTGATCTGGGGACAGTATCTTTTAGGGATACCTGCGAGCGTTGATTCTATAGTTGTGATTATCAGTCGCTCACAGTCATCACCCTCGTAGATAGGCACATTCTTCGCGTTACACAGCAACCTGTCAGTAGTCACATCAAATAATCGAAAGGAAACATGAGTATCTGCTTTCGGAAAATCAAACTTTGAGCAGGGACAATTAGGCCTATCCTTAATCATTCTTCTATGGTTGTGCAGAATCTCTTCAACGCTTTTGTGCTTGGCGAACATTACTCTTGCTCTCTTCTCCATGCTCATTGTCAGTGCAGGGTGTGAAATATTGTCCTGAATCAAGTTCGAGAAAGTCTTCCTGACCTGCAGTAGATTAATGGAAGGTGAGAAAGGAAGTCGTACTATGAGCTGCTTCCAGATATTAATCTGAAATTTCTTACATGTAACCCTGGACAAGCATGCTCTGAGTATGCCTCGACTCTTCTTTGATGCAATCAGGCGCATGCTTGAGTACATCTTAATGAGTCTCGTCAAAGAATACCCGTATAGCTTAGCTCTCGTCCATGGTGCGCGCAGCAGGGAGATGAGCTTCCTCTTAATCTGAATGGTCATGGAGTGAGTCTCAACGCAACAAGCAATAACAGCACAACATCCGCTCTCAAATATCATTCTGCAATCTATTAATAGTTGTTTTTTACCGTTAATCTCAACCACACTGTCCCCAAATCTTCTTTTAATTACTTTCCAGCTTTCAACCCAGAGGTTGCCTTTGAAAGATTCAATGACAACCTTTGGTTTGCTGAGGCAGGAAAGTTGAGACACTTTTTCATGCGAAGAAAACAAGATTGGAGAATCAGGAACCTTGTTCTGGCAATTGCCTCTTGTGGTCTTACGATGCCTCTTCCTATTGTTAATTCCGGTTTTTGCAATCGCCTTTCTGTGTTGTGTATTGAGGTAAGGGTTCCATTTTTTGGATCAACTTCTTTTTCATCTGTACGACTGTAGTGGTATCACTTGCCCAGATGGGGATACATACATACTTATGTATCCCGAACTTGGCAACCCAAGAGTAGAGTCTCATGTGCTGCTTGTTCTCACGTCGTAGCACAGCACTTGCGTGCTCCTTCCACCTCCTGTCAACACCCGTAGCAGTCCTTCCTATGTAGTAATGTCTACACCAGGGCGATAACCATACATAGACGCACACCTTTTCTGTCAGTAGCTGATCCCAGTCACCTTTACATGTGCTGATGAGTCTGTACATTCTAACAGCCCAGCTAATGTCCCTTCTACACATTAGTTCAAGAGTGGTCAGTCTGTAAGCCCTGTTGATCGTGCTGCAGTCAGTCCACTTTCGATCTCTGATGAGACTGCGAATCGAGTTGCTACATTGTGTAGCGAGACTCCTCGTGATAGTAGTAGGTAAGTTTGCGCACTGCGATCGTGGTGGCTAACGAGCACTTGGCTACACATCTTCCGTCGCGGTCGGGCCTTCCGAGTACTCTACCTCCACCTCCTCTGATGAACTCTCGTCTTCTTCTGACTCTGAATACTCCGTCTTCTCGTCATCGTGATTCCCTCCATTCACTTCTTCTCCAGTCTCAGTTTTATCCAGTAGATCCTCTGTGTCAGATATTATCAGACCAGGTATCTTCCGCAAAGCCACACGTGTCTGTGGCATACCTTTATAGCGCACATTATGCATTGCACAAAGCCGCTTGAGGTCCTCCATCTGTAACGCGCTCAGCATGTCTTCTGAGATTTGTTTCCCCTGCAGTATTCTGCGTCTAGCAGATGAGCGCCGCACACTCTTTCGAGGATCTTTGACTCGCTGCCTTCTCCTCTTCATGGCGCTTGGTCCTGCTTCGGCTGGCTTTGGTGTTGTCTTCTTGACTGGAGTCTTGCTATTAGGTACAATCTACCTTGGCGAGATAAACTGCCTCGTCGGCGGTGGTTTCAAGTTTGCCAGACTTCCTTGTAAGGAAGCGATGTCGTATTTCATAGCCCGCATATCCTCAATTTGCTTCTTGAGGACCTTCAACTCCGTCGTCAGCTTCGAGACTTCGTTATCCTTTCCCTTACCACGGCTCGCTTGCTGCGAATTTCCATCGTCAACCTTCTTCGCTTGCGCCGCCCATGCCTCTTGAACAGCCGTGTCCACCATCTGTTTGATCTTGTCCGCGTTGATAGTGTCTGCACGTCGTTTAGAGCTGGTGTTGAATTCATCTGACAACTTATCCACCCGCTTCCGTAATCTATCAAGCTCTCGACGTAGAGCGTAGAGCTCGTCACGGAGTTCGACGGTGAACCACGCCCTGTTTCCGGGCGCTGGTTTCTTATATGGGAACTCAATACGCTTATCTTCCCGCTCTCGCGATGTACTTCGCCGCCTTCGCCTGCTAGATGATGATGATGCAGATCTGGATCGACGTTGATCATGTCTCCCTTTCTCATCCGACCGATCCTTCGATCGCTCCGAACTCCTCGATGGTGATCTACCCCTCCTTGAGTCCTCTCTCTTCCTCCTGTGGTTCGGTGACCTTAATCTAGACCTAGATCGTGAATCTCCCCATCCTGCTGAGTAGGTAACCCACCTCGTGCTCGCGAGTACTCAGCTGTGCTGCTTCACGTTCACGCCGCTGATCCGGTCTTCCGCTGAATGATTCGTCCAGAAAAAGCTAGCAATATAAACTTAGTTACGCAATGTCAAGGTAGCACACTGAGTGCGATAGCATATAACGAAAACGCCTGCTATCATTCGCAAAACAGAATAAAAAAGAGAACAGAGATCAATATTGAACACAAACTCGTCATGCATAACGAGACTCCTGACGCTAGTAAGAATTGAACATAGCATCTAGTCTCGTGACAGCTCTCAAAACGTGATTCCTCTACCGCTGACCAGTACTGCTCCGAACACTGCAATATCAACTTAGTTGCGAAATGTCAAGGTAGCACACTGAGTGCGATAGCATATAACGAAAACGCCTGCTATCATTCGCAGAACAGAATAGAAAAGAAAAGAAAATGGAGATCAAATTGAACACAAACTCATCATGCAATACGAGACTCCTGACGCTAGTAAAATTGAACATAGCATCTAGTCTCGTGACAAATCTCAAAACGTGATTCCTCTACTGCTGACCAGTACTCCTCCGAACGACAATGAATACCGAACAAATGAGTAAATCACTCGAAACAATGGGAACTAATAAGCATCCTCTCCGCGCCCCGCAAGGAGGCTGATCTGGGAAGGTGGCCACGTGGCCATGCCCAATATCCTGCAGCGAACCAAAAGTCGCAGAAAAGGAATCCCGATGGACGTTAATCCGCCGCTCAGCTATCCGATACGAAATTTGAGAGTGCGAAACTCAAAAAGACAAATAAAGATAAAGACTCCCTGCTCCGACAGCAATGGTCGTTCGTCCGTTAATGATTGATAAGAACACTCCAGCTCGCCGACGTTGTGAAGCGCATCCGTGTACTTACGATACCTGCACGCATAGAGAACAACCACAAAAACACTTCCTATCGACGAATCAATAAGAGTTTTGCCCACCGACCAACACGGGTATAATCTCCCGTAAGCTCGAGGTGGGTTGCGTGAAAAATCGTTCAGATAAGATAACACAAAATGTGAGGCTTTACTCTCGCGGAGGACATAATGTGCTACTGAGATAAGGAGTAAGACAAAAATTCAAGAGAGGCGACGGGAAGTGGAGCACTGAAATTGAGAACAATCACATGTGTCGGAATACATTGAAGCAACTACGTTATCCATCTGTTCACCAAAAAAAACACAAGGTAGATTCCTCTATTGGGACTACGACAAAAATACTCAAGCGAGAAATATAAATTCCTGGCAAGCAAAAACACAAGAGATGGTGCATTCCATTATCGATGAATGAAGCCCAAGTTACTAACAAACGGAGAGCAATCAAGAATGCATATCCATCGGAATGTGGCCCTGATAGTGAGTAGTACGAGCATAACTATCCAATAGGCGAGTTGCAACAAGGACCTATAGTCACCGAACCGGAGAACAAAGAAACGTACTTCCAAATAGGCTGTTCACTTATTCCTAGAGTGGGGATTTCATTCGTGAGGTACTAAGAAAACATTTACTGCCTCATCAGCACCACCAATCACGATGGATAACACGCTTCTTAGAACATGTCGAATCCTGGGGAAAACATGAGGAAAGAGCTACGCGAATAAACCGACAGTAACTAGTTCCCCAAAAAAAGCTCAAAGGGAACATGGCTTATCTTTGAATGAAAAGAAATTTTCCTTCTACACAGAGATATTCAAAAAAGAGATAGTCTGAGTGCAGCACCAAAGCCCAATCCTAGATCACCAAGCGGCCTCTGACCCAGATGAGATTACTCCAAAAAATTGTGAACTGCGCAGCACAAAAAATCAGCACCTTGCGTTGGTAATCAACAAATCATCAGTCAAGGTGGATCCCAAGGGAACATCACAGTGTACTCACTGATACTACGAGCAATCATTACAATCCCACAGGTGAAAGCTGCAAATAGGAGAGTGACCGGCATAATTGCGACTGATCGAAGAGAGTTAGGAGGGCCCAGGTTTAGGGGATTACAAACGGAGCATTGGGCTAGCGACGGCGAATCAAGATTGGAGTGCATTTCGGTCGCAAGAAAGAGGATCATCATGAAGGATAGAATGAGCATAGTGATGGTCGACGAGATTACGAAATACAAAGGACGTCTAAACGAGATCATGCAATTCTTGCCACATGACATTTAGAATAAAGGGGAGAAGAATTCGTGATGCAGGAGGGTCCTAACAGTGATCGGCGGTGGTCTAAGCAATTGAGGAATTCAAAGAAGGCGAAGGTGGCCAGCAATAAGCAGAAGATTGTGAAGACACCCTGGTAGAAAGCTCCGTAATCCATGGGAGCCGCTCCTAAATCAAGCTTTGCCTAACGAAGTTGCGACTCCAGAAGCAATTCCTACGATAGCCATACACAGACATCCAATACAAGCAAGATGCAACATTGTGCGTTAGACATCCTTTCATAAACGGAGGGATCTTAGAAGGGTAATAGGAGACACAAACTATTTAAAGGATACAAAAATAGAAGGATATAGATGAGAGGAAACAAAGAAAAGGACAACTCCCAGATTGGCCAAGCGACTCAAACTTGTCGACGCAACCTGCACGAGGGGGTAGCAAAAGAGGAGTCCCTAAAGCTTTTTCACCAGTTTCTGCAAGACTGGCTCAACAGGGGGGAGATACCCCTTGGTTGTCGTTCCAAAATGGGAGAGAGAAGACACGTCATTATTTGGCATTGGGGAAGACAGCAGTAAAAGGAAGGGGGGAACAAAGACGAGAAACGACACAAGGGGGAAAAAAAAGGGGGAAGGAGGACCGGGGGRGGGGGGAGGGGTAAGTGGTCGCGATCCAAATTCAATGGAGAAGGGGGGGGGGGGGGGAAGAGACAACATAGGGTGGAGGAAGGGGGAAGGAGGAGGGGGGGAGGGTGGAGAGGTAAGTGGAAGCGATCCATTACCACTGCCGCATGAGATGAGGACGCCGGAGCCATGGTGGGTTCGTGCCAGAGACAGAGTAATCAAGCAAGCTGGGCGAGATCAGATGAGCATCACAACCGCCAGGAATCAATCGCAGAGAGCAATCGCCGTCAAGATCTACACTCGTACGTCTCTAAAAAGAGCAGCACGTGGGTGCTGCCAATTCCGACACAATCACTCCTTGTTACTTCAAAGGTTCCACCAGGAATCCTTGATGAGGAATCCACTAGTGGGGATCAGGCGCATGTACCGCTTGAATCGAGCCAGCGCAATTGGAAACTCAACAGAGGCATCCGCAGCGCAACCTGAGCATAGCAGTCGATGCCGGTTGGCACAAGTGGGGAAATTCCCTCGTCGCAGGTGAGGAACGTTGGGTGCTGATTATGAGTAGACGCGATATCCTCTCGGGAATACCACTTCGACGAAGCCCAACGCTAGAAGGATCATGCGTCCGCGACACCGCGATTCAACCGAAGTACGGGCACATGACTCCTTTGCGGCGGAGAATGAGGAGGAATAGTGAAACGTAGGCTGCGTTATTAGTAGTATTTTTTATAGTGTGAACAGCAACCGGTGGGAAGGATATTCCAAGGAGGTAGGCCATGACTAGGCCTATTTGGGACTCGGGTTGGTGGACCGGTATAGTACGATGTGAGTGTCTGCATTACTAGGAGGGGGCTTTAGGGGTTTTTTTTCATTGGGGCTAAGAAGCAGAATGATAACCGTAGGAACAAATGACGGGTAATCACGTATTGTCCCTCATAAAAACCTGAAAAAGAACTTCTTCATAAAGTTTTCCACGAATATGTTTATTTAATATTAATTAAACCAATTTTATACCCTAACTCTATTTTTTCAGTTCGTATAATAGTGTGTGTGTGTGTGTGTGTGTGTGTGTGTGTGTGTGTGTGTGTGTGTGTATGTGTGTGTGTTGAGATAAACAGAGCCCCGCAAACGCGGCGAGCAGCGTAACAGGGTGTGCATTCACGATTGCCAAAGAAGCGAGGTTGTATCACCTCTTGCACATAACAATCCATATACAGGGTGGCATCAATGCATTCGTATATGGAGACACAAAGGCAACACTCAAGGCTGGATGCACACTGAGGAGACGTACGAGGCACATAGATGACAAGCAACAACAAAACACATAGGCTGGTGGGCACGGGGGAGGCGGGCGGGCACAAAAACACGATAAGACGAGGCAAAGACAGTGAACTGAGAAACAACTAGCACCGACGGAAACAGGCAAACCGAAAAAAATACAAGTCCCAAGAAAGTCAAAGGACCGAAAAAAATAGAAACTGATGACAACAAGATTGTTTCGTCGGAATTGCACCAACTCATCAAGAGGCTGAACCCTCGACAATCTGCGGAATCCCCGTATTTGATGGTTTGGGTCATGAACCCTTTGACCCATGTTGAAGGCAGACTGTCCCTAAGCGGGACATAGCAGCGGGCAACATTGCCGCAGCAACCCTGTGGAGCACCAGGCAACAAAGTAGAGGCAACTCAACTTCTTATCGCCAAAGACGACTTCAAGGAATGACAGGGCAAACGGTCGAGCAGGTCGGCAACCGTGCGGTGCAGCACAAGGCAACATCAGCAAGGCGACCAAACTAAAAGGCACGCAAGCAAGTAAGGAACGTGGAAGACCAGCAGGGCAAGCAGACGAGCAGCTT